TTAAATATCCGCAGTTAGATATCAATTGACAATTATTCCTTGTACATATAAGAAATTTGTTCATTTAACATTTTCATAATAAAAATAAACGTTAAATCCAAATTAACCAAATTAACGTCAAATTGAGCTTGTTATCGCCGCGCTGTGCTATTTTGAATCACGTTGGAAGAGAGTCTGGTCGACGGAATTTGGATTCTTTATAAAATTTACAGATATTTGATATCTACAAACGCAAAAAAAATTGATGAACGTTGATAGGAATACACAAATTATGAATTATCTGGGATAAGAAAGTCTACCATGTACTACCCCTTTTCTCACCCCACTCCCGGCGTGATAGAAAATGCGCGAAGGTGACAACCGAACTTTAGTGCTTTATTTCGAAACACGTACCCACCGTGAAGTTTATCCCTAACAAAAAGCGCACACTGTATATATGCGAGAGATTATATCGACAAAGGAGAGAATCTATAAATATATATATATATATGAAAAGCTATTATATTGAGCATATATATATATTATATATATATATATATATATATATATATATACACATAAAGAGATATACATAGAGTTGATTTTGTATAAAATGTACGAAACAGTATTTCCTGTAGAGCCTGAAGCGTAGATCACGCCGTAGAGAATGAAACGATATACTTACACACTGCGACATCCGGCATACGCCGGACATTGATATAAGGATTAGATTACGTATCTAAGAGAGAAAACAATGTTCCTCTAAGCTGAGTAAGCCAGCCTTATGTTAAATAATGTAGTCTTAAGAGTGTAGAAACTGATCAGATGAGCGCATGACTACGACGAAACCGAGCGGTCGATCGGTTTTAAAGATCCGTTTTGCTCTTATAATCGCGAAGAGACACGAAATTGCACTGTGTGTGTGTGTGTATGCGTGAGAGAGAGAGAGAGAGAGAGAGAGAGAGAGAGAGAGATATGCTGGCGCGTATACACGAAATGCATGAAAATATGCAGGTTACTATGTGAGTGAATGAATTGCGAATGAATACGTCGACCAGAAGTATGGTCGCTTAACAATGCCTAGCCTTATTTTTCTACGTCTTACGTTTCATCAGTATTTCTTAGGTCAAGAGTGCCCCAAAAGACGTTACGTTCGAAACCGTGCATATACTAGAATACGTCGCGAATAAACACAAGGAAGTATATTTATATATATTTCTGTGAATGTACGAGTTGTTAGTTACTCAAAAGGAAGTGTCGGAATGCAATGTATATTAATTTTTAACCATTAACACTTTTTATTGGGCTGCCTCCAATTTGGCTCAGATAGTGATTTTTATTTAGTATTTGGAGTGTAGAATCATATAGAAAAGGAATTATGTGCTGAATGAATTATTCAAAGTTATGATGAATAGTTATTTTTCAGAAGATAGATGACGATAAGAAAGACGAAAAAAGACCAAAGTTGGTGATATTAACTCAATTTATGGCTTATATGAGAAGATTTACTGATTTTCCTTTTACTGAAAAATAACGATTTTCTATAACTTTGAATAATTCATTCAGCAAATAATTCTTTTTCTACGTGATTCTAAATACTAAATAAAAGACACTACATGAGCCAAATTAGAGATGACCCAACGAAAAGTGTTAATGGTAAGACAGAATTTGCATAAAATTTTTTTTAATTTACATACGAAATGTATTATATATTCGGTATTATATTGTTTGGAAAATCGGACATTGCAAAGTATCCGCGCGCGCAGCAAAGTATCTTGTTTATTTAATATTATTTATTATCGGTTTTATCTTTTCCTGGCTGACAACTCGTACTATAAATAATGTATAGAATACCGTACATATTATTTTAGCAGAAACTAGCTTCTATATATATATATATATATATATATATA